ATCGAAAATGTATTTTTTAATCTACAAAGGCCACCAAAGATAAAGTGAAGAGAAATCTAAAATCGTTATGAAAGAGGCTGTTAACGCCTCAAAAACAATTTTGGTGTCAAAGAAAGTAAGTTCTAGAATAGCCTAGTGGTACTGCAGAAAATGACGAATAATAAACCCGATAAATTCGCTGAAAAATAAATATTTTTTTTATTTGACTGAGGGACTTCATTGTTCAAACTCTAAAAGGAATATGTGAGTCCTGATATTTAACATTTTTTAAATTCTTGCTCTCTTCTTTGTTGGAAAAGAATAAAGACGAACACATTCTCCCACCACTATTATTTAAAACTCAAAAAAAAGAAAGCGGGTTTACAATTACTTCAGATTTTCGACAATAACGTAAGTGTCGTCGTCAGCTTTCAAATACCAGTCGTAAGAAGTATACCTATGTTCATAAATATATTTGAAAGCAGCTTTTGTTTTAGACCATAAATAATCTCTTCCCTTGGTTGTATTTAGGTTCACTGCTGGCAGTTCTTGGTCGGCTTCAGATGACATAAAAATGCATCTGAAAGGAAATTTTGGCATAAGTCAGAGTAAAAGTCACGGTTATATCTATCTTTCATTTTGCGTTACTCACACATTTCCAAAACCGAAAAGCTAAGCTAGAGACACAATTTAGCTTACTATAAACTTTATAAACTTAGTAGCTCTTTACTTTAGTGTATGCTTTTATTTTGAGCAACAGAAAGAATGCCTTGTCTTGAACGTAAAATTTACCTGTTTTTATGTACCCCAAAGAAAAAAAAATTTTCAAATATTTGGCAGCAGGTAAAGTAGAAGAATTTAAAAGCAGATGAAAATAAGCTGTTTGTCAGTTATTAGTTCTTTGAACAAATAAGTAACAAAGATGCAAAAGGGCAACTTCTTACACAGTTTTTTTTTTTTTTTTTGAATTCTCAACTGCTGTTCAACTTAACCAACTGAAGAGCCAAAAATAACCAAATATTTGCTGACAAAATCTTAAATTTTACACATTCGCTTATCAGAGTAATTTAGTGGTATTAAATCATAAAGGCAACATCAAATATTACACATCTTGAAAAACAGGCAGTTTAATTTATGAATTCCAGAAAAATGTAGAAAAAAAAATTCAACTTTCTAAGCACTGTCTTAAGTAGGAACTAATAAACGTAAAGTACTGTATTTTCCTTCTCAGAGATGAATCATTGAAAGTTTTTGTCTCTGGTGACTCTAATCAGCATTACACTTCAAATTAATTGTACTTGTCAATTTCTAATTTTAAACTGATGACAACAAAATGACCATAACAAGGGACGTAAAGATAAGACATTTTTGGGTATTCTAGATGAACTTCAGACGTCAGTTCTAGATCTCTTTTTGTCATCAGAACACATTGGTTTGAGAAACTACCTACGACGTCTTCTTTTCATCCCAAAGCAGGTTAATTAGCCACATATTGAAAGCACTACGAAATTGAAGAAAAGTGTCTGGTAGCTCACTCATGCTTTAGATATTCACAGATGCTAACGGTATATATTAAGCAGTAAAAGTGCGCTCGTGAAAGTTTGTGGACTATGAAATGGATGATGTGTGAATAATAATAGTTTGTACAGATACTGTAAGAATTTTCAAAGTAACGAAAAGTTCAGAAGTGC